TGAATAAATATTACTGAAAAAATTCGGTATAATATTTAACGGTGAAAATAGGTTTTACGATAAAATAGACTTTACGAATGACGCATCCAAAGTTTTGGTACTTTATATTGCAATTTAATCCGGAATTTTTTACAGTGTATAGGGAATTTTGCGACAGTAGTGATTTATTTATAACTGTACGTAACCGAATTCATAAGGTTAAAAACCTAAATATTAAAAAAGGTCTGTTTGAGGGTATTTGAGCAAGCTAAATGCAGTGTGTAAAATATTTTTATATCTTTTACTTTTTAAGGCCAAGCGAATATCATTCAACGCACAGAGTAAGACAATCTTAGATTATGACATTAATGACATACCTTAATGTGAGTTCCGTGTCAAAACTTAAGACAGTCTTAAAGTGAACCCCCATTGCTTTCTAAAAATTGAACTCGTTATTAACTTAGGGTTATTTAAGGGTAATAGTCTTAACTTCTTTAAGGAGGTCATGAAAATGAAACTTTAACGTGACATTGAGGTTTAAAATTTGTCCCCTGTTGATCCTGAATATAGGTCAATAAGACACTCGAATCATAATAAAATAAATTTGTTTTTTTTATAATCATTTTGAATTTTATTCAACTTTAACTCTGAAAATAAGAAATAAATGATATCGAGCCTTCTTTAAAAAACTTTTTCACGATTTAAAAAATATTGATCTGGGAACCATAAGCATTTACTGTCATGATATTTAAATCTATATTTGAACTTTTTCAAGGTTAGAAATTAATGACAAAAAATGTATAGAGTTACTATGTTGCAATTATTTCGAACGAAGTTTTGATATTTTAAAAATGCTTTCGAGGTGAATGCTTCGAAGCCATACTATAAAAAATTCCTGATCAAATTACGGTAAATGCTACAGGCACACAGGCTGCCGGTACTTTTTACCGTAAAATCCATTTTACCGGAACATGCTACGGAAAAAAAATTGATATACCGTAATTTGTACAGTAATAATTACAGTAAATACACTGAATCACTCCAATTAAATAAATATTACTGCAAAAATTACGGTATAATATTTTACCGTAAAAATGGATTGAACGGTAATGTGGAGTTTGCGGGTGGCACCCAAAATTCCAGTACTTTATACCATAATTTGATCATAAATTTTTTGCAGTGCAGTGTCTGTCATTTGATAGTGTAAATGCTATAGTTTCCCCGTCTTAAAAAAATAGACATTTAAGCAAATAAGTAAACTAAGAAATGATAATATCATTCACTAATATTTTTATAATAATATGTTGTTAACATTCAAGTTCTTGGTTTTGTCATTAAAAACTCAAATATTAATAAGTTGCCAATCTTTACCTAGCAGGAAGTTAGTAGAAATATTAGTTTGTAGAAAAAATATCAACTATTTAATCCCTCAAACATAAACTTACATACTTGAAGGTAGTTTTACAGTTGAAACAATGGGGTGTTTTCTAAGAAACAAAATATAAAAAAGTAACAAAATGACGTGGAAATACCCCTAAGGAAGTATTATATACTATGTGAAGAATTCTTAATGAGAGATGGGTATTTCAGCAGCAATTTTAATAAGAAAGAAGTGAACTATGCAAAACGTTATCATTAGTGATAAAAATAATGCTAAAAAATAAGCAAATTACAATGCAGAAAAACCAACTCATTGATATTGCGGTGACTAGGATAGCAGTGATAATGAAAAGAAATTATAAGAAATAAATAAATATTAAAATCTTATTTGTTTTTATCGTACGAGATTATAAAGTGGGATTAAATAAAGAGTAAATAATTTGTTGCTCTTTCTTTACCCAATGCTAAGGTTTATTTTTCTGATTTCTTTAAAAAATGAAATATAGACTATTTTTGATTATCACATTTAAAGAGATATTTTAAAGGGCATTTTTTTAAAAAAAATTTGTCGGTAGTCTAGAACAATGACAGTCTGAAATTAGTTCTGGAAATTCTGTTTTTTTGTGCAATTTTTAAGTTAAATATTTAAAAATAGATTCGATTTAAGTTTAATGGATAAAAAATTAAAACAAATATGGCATTTCTACCAGTTTTTTTATTTTAATTGTTGACATTAATATATTTTTATAATCACAAGATTAACTATCGATATTTAAATTCTGAAAGAATGGGATTTAAAAGTTTCTAATTATGTTATATGTCATGCTCTCTGATAACAATGGGTTTAATCGAAGATTTTAAATAAAGTTATTGCCTTCCTTAAAAATTCTTTTCATAGATTGATTATATATTCTTCTTAACATTCTCAACTAGTTTTCCTTTTTTATTATGACATTATCTTTATACATTACTTTTCTTACTTTCGTTTTAGTTTGATGGTTTTCTTTTTCTTGATTGCTTTGACTTTACTTTCCTTCTTTTTTTGAATATTTTAATTAATAACAAATAAATCATCGCTTTCTTGTCCAAACAGTTTTAAGTTTAGAAAATTCTCTCTCGCTTTCTGTAAATATATATATAAGTTAATCAATTTTTACTCAATTTACGATTAAACAACCCATATTTCATAGATAGTTTATTAGGTATACAATATAGTTTTATATTTATTTATAAAATATACTGTGCACTCATAAAAGTGAACAAAATTAATAATTAATTGGTAATATTTCGTTTTAAATATAATTGGTACTTTTTCAACAGATAGCAAAAATATTATCGATTCATATACTAATTGTGATTATATCGCTAATCTTTATTACATATGCATTGCCTAGATAGTTTATTACCGCTATAAAGATTAATTTGCATTCAGGCGTAGTAATGTAGTAAGTGAAAGTTATTAATATACCTTCGGGTAATTAGAAAGTCTTTTTGGTAAAGAGAACAAAATTGTCAGGTGCAAGAATTGGTATCAATAACCAGAGGATATGAATATTTAATTGCTGCATTAACAATAATATAGGTCATAACGTTTTGTATTTTCTTCCTCATTACGACAGTTTTTTTCAAAAACATTTTGTGTTTCATCGATAATTTAAGGGAAATCTTACATTTCCTGGAAAAGCTAATATGCTCATAGCGAATTTGTAAGGTATATTTTCGTAATAGCTTTTTCCGTGCAGATGCAAAGCAATTTAATAGACTTTTAATTGTAAATTAAGTTGGTGGCAAACTTAGCAGTTTTTATTAATCTTTCTGAAGACTTATATAAACAGAGAGCATGGCTTAAGTGCTCAAACACACGAAAATTTAAAAATTTAAAAATAGAAAAAATACTGAGTTTTTATTTTTATAAAAATATGGTTATCAATTCTCGTACAAATGATTAAAAATGTGCTTTTTTCTTCAAAATCGAAAATCTAGTTTCGTATTTTTCTCATAAGTAAAAAAAATTGTTTTTCTCTTCGAGTGAAGCTAAAACTTTGAATTCGGTTTTCATATAATTACTATTTCACGTTNAATTTATTTTTTTTAAGTTTTAAATTTTTTTTTCTTAGCTCAAAAACTATAGAAAATAACTATATGAGGTTAAATGAGTTGTTATATGATTTCAAAAAGTTTCCATTGATTGAAAGATATATTCAGCAATTGTGTTGATTTGTTATCATTTGTTTAAATTTGGTTTATTCGTAAGAAATATTGGTATGATGTAAGTTGACTATAAGAATGCTGCAAAGAAAAGCGAATAAATAGAAAACCTATTAAGAAAAATTATTAAAATAATAACCCTATAAAATCTGAATTATACTTGAAGTACTTTGAATTCTGTTTTCTTCTAGATCACTTTCATGCTTTTTTTTAAAACGACTTCCAGAAACTATAGAAAAAATTGAGTGAAAATTAGAGCCAATATTTTAGCTATATAATTTGAAATAGTTATCAGAAACTTGAAAGATATATTTTAGAATTTCCTAAATAGTTTTGTTTAAATTTTTAATTTAAATTTTTTAAAAGGGAAAGTAATAAATCTACAAGAAGAAGGGCTTATTTCATCTGATTTTTGAAAATATTTAATTTTTAGTATTAATAATTTCAATATTTGATGTGAGCTTGTCAAACTATGAAAATTGAATTTTAGTTTGGGGAAAATCCTATAAACCTAATGCTTGCGTACTATAATTTTAGTGCACTATAGTACTATACATCTTTACTTTTTGAAACCCTTACACTTTTATAATTAACAGCTGTTAACTAAATAGGATTGATGCAGAAACGATGATTAATATATATTGTTCCAATGTATATTCGGATAGATAAATCGTTATTATTGATAGATATCGCTATTATTAATAGATAAACTGCTACACAGAGAAGAAAAGTATGATCAAAACTACCAGAATATGGTAAAATTTACAGTGTTTCTAGCTGTATGGGAACACCAAAAAGCTCGGTAATTTTTACAGAAGTACTTTGGTAATATTTTTGCAAAATTAACAATGATATTTATAATAATAGTAATACAATTTTTAATACATTTTTCGTGAAATTAACAATAAAATTTAGTTTTATAATATGTGATAAAATTTGGTTAATGTGGTAATTTTATCACGATACTTTAGAGCATAGCATAAAAACCATTTATTCGGTTAAATTAACTTTTAAATTTTGAATATTTTACTAAATATTTGATAATAAGAATAATAATTTTGAAAAACAGAATTTCTGTAAACCATTTACATGTGAACAGAAAAATTATCAAATGAATGGTTAAAATACCGTACATTTTGGTTTTATTAACCCGGAGTATAAACCATACTCTGGGTTAATAAAACCAAAATGTACGTTTTTTTAACCATTCATTTGATATTTTTTTCATCATCACTCAGTACGGTAATTTTACAAATGTATTTATGTAAATTGCTATTATATTTATACACATTATTTTATCAAATATATTTATAGGTATAAAACCTATTCCAATATTTGATTTCCTCTGTATCGATTTTGTATCTTTATTCTGTAATTCCCTAAATAATTGTGTCATTTCCTCAAAACTAATAAAAATCATCTTATCTTTATAGAGTCGCAAGTTGTCACCGTAAGTAGCAGTGGTTTAGTAGCAAGCATAAACTCAGGTGGTTTACAAGGAAATATTGAATTTCTTGATGATCCAAAAGGAACAGCAATCCGGGTATTTTTAAGAGGAGGAACTTATGGAGAGAAATTCAGATGGAAAATTCATGAATTTCCATCTATACCAGGAACTGCTAATCCCTGCAGTGATGAAAAAATTGGACGAACGTTAGTATGAAATTAACATTTTGCACTCAAATTTGCAATACGCGTTTTCGAAAATATTTGTTAAACGATGAAAAATAATATGGGTATATTGAACCATAATATCGCGAAAATTTGCTGCAAACTTAAACTTTTGACCCAGAGGGGACTCAGGTGTCTCTTTTATAATTTTTTTTCTAGCACTCTAATTTTTAATTATAAAAACAATCAAATTTGTACCAAAAATATATGCTAGATTAACGGAATTACATTTGCACTAAAATATAAAATTCAAAAAAAAAAGTAACANAAAAAAAAAAAAAAAAAAAAAAAAAAAAAAAAAAAAAAAAAAAAAAAAAAAAAAAAAAAAAACGATTTGAATTTTTTTTTTCATTCATCATCAAAAATTTATCAATAATCTATTTTGTAAATTAACGAAATTTCAATGAGGAATAACTGTTTCTTTTAGATATAAGCAACTGCAAGTAAGGGCAATTTTTTTTTTTTTTTACTTGGGAGTGAGTCGTGTTAGGAGATTTTACTTACCCTTAACGCAGAAAAAGATACCGATTTTTCATTTTGTATTTCATGACCATAAATTATTCAAATGCTACATATAATATTTTTCATTTATTTTGACCTAAATTAGTACAAAATAATAAAAAATGCATGAAAAATATGTGTAACAAAAATTCTGCTTCAAAGGGTTAATAAGGTGCTAAACTGAACTATGTACCTGTTAAAATTGAACTGTAATATCGTTTGTAATATGTATAATCTATTTTCATTTGCTTGATTATATAGATCAACATAAGGTGGTAGCATGCTAATTAAATATCGCTATTTAGAGTAATTTAGTACAAAAATTAAAGATTCAAGAATATTAACTTTTAATGGCTTCAAGGAATATTATTTGAAGATAATATGTCCGTATTGTTATAATAAATAAGATAATAAGATAAATAAGATAAATATTTTTATAAAAAATGGTTTTAACAGAAGAGATTAAACAAAAGATTTGTTTTCGCACAATTGAAAATGAGGAACATGTCAAAAAATATGTAAGAAATAATGATTAAATTAGTAGAAAGATAATGAAGGTTTGTTATTCTCCATGCTCTATAGCGACAATTTAGAGCATATTTATTAAGAAATCAACTTGAAATAATAATTGTAAAAATAATAAAATTGAAATAAAATTATAAAATAATTCTACATTTGTAGGAACTATTTGTGATCAAGTCAAACTGCTTTTTGGTCATATATTCTTGGTAGTTCAGTTCACCTTAATGAATATACATTATAAACCATATGTCTTTTTTCATTTTTACATATATTTGAAGATCAAGGAGGGAAGGGCCATTTATCCCCATTTTACACAAAAATAACGATTGAATCACCCTCTGTTGCATTTTGCAGATCACTAAGTTTTGACAAATCAATAACGCGAAAAATCCGTTTTCCCCAGAGTTGTTATGCAGTGAAATGAATAGTGGAGTAGAAAAATCTTTCCTTTACACGCGGAAAATCGTTTTTTTCCTATACCAGCTTTTATGGACATTTTTGCAATAATTTGATATTGACTTACTATTGTCAAATCAAATTATCAAATTTTACTATAATTCGATTTGATTTGACATATTTACTATAATATATGAATTTACTATAATTTCTTTGTATTTTGATTGTAATTTATGATTTTAACGAATTATCCAGGTTCCGTTATGTTCTTAATATACGCTTCAAAAATTAATTTTCTCTGTTTACAAATTTTAATTTGTGCTTGATGTTCCAATGTTGTAAAGTGCAAATACTATTTTTCACTTCATTTACATATATTATATTTTCAGATATATTGATTTCACTGAAAAACACGGAACGGTTACAGCTGGTCAAGATATGGTTTTACTTTCAAATCTGAAACTGATTCCAAATGCATCCATTTTAGGAAGAACTCTCGTACTACGAAGCCCTGAAACCGGAAGAATTTCATGCGCAGTAATTCAACCTACATCGAGAATACGAACTTACCAAGCTAAACTATTTTCACCCCTTGGAGGAACAGTTGTTGTTAGACAAAGTGCATTTGGTACAGGAATTTCATCACAGCTTTGGTACGTAAATGGAACGAGAAGGGATTCGATTCATCGTTGGGCAATCATGCAATCCATTTCAGGTGTCTCTGAATCTCCATCAATTACTTTCCAAAATGAAGTCACACATTGTGCTAATCTTCAAGCAACACCCTTTTTCCACATTTCTGAGGCAGTAGGATATGCTGCAGTTGGGCGTGAACCCAGTTCAATAACTGGTCGTACTTATCACTCAGTTGTCTCTGCTCCCATTCTTGAAAAAGTTGCTAATAGTCTTTATATTGCCATATATTCTGATATTGATCCATCAGAAGTTCTAGCATGTGGTCGTCTAGTACCAATTGAACCTAGACAAGCAATGGCAAAGTTTGATTCGGAAGCATCTGGAGAGATATCTTTTCGGCAAGAATCTCCTTTTGACCCAACTCTAGTTACAATAAATTTAAATGATTTGAATAAAAAAGCTTACAGCTATGGAATTGATGAATTACCATTAATATTTAGAGGAGACAAGACTGAGGTATGTCCCAATGTGAAATCTATTATCTACAATCCACTGAAAAAATCACCAGATGCCGTTCCAGAGCCAAATAAGGGTAGTTCAGATCAATACGCAGTTGGTGATTTGAGTGGAAAATTTGGACCATTAAATAATGCAGAAAAACATTTTCAGCAAGTTTATGACCCTCAGTTATCTTTGTTTGGAGTAAACAGTGTGATTGGTAGAGCTATAGTGATTTATTATCCCGATGGTCAACCTCTTGCTTGTGGAAATATTGAACTTACTGGAAGGAGAGTTATTACTGCTTTTGCAACATTTGATTTTCCTTTACAAGGACAACTTATTTTAAGACAAGACAGAGATGACCTTGTTGCAGACACTTCTGTATATTTAGAGCTATCTTATCCATCAGCTGCGTCTCAAACCAAGACCTATCATCACCCTTGGCATGTAAACGAACGAGCAATTCCAACTGGCCAACGATTTAGCCTGAGTGGTATAGAATGCCTTCAAGCTGGTTCAGTGTTCAATCCTTACAATGTCAGCGTTAATGGTTTTTACTTTAGTCATTGTTCCGGTTTAGCACCTCAAAGATGCCAAGTTGGAGACTTTTCTGGCAAATTACGGCACCTTGATATCCCTCCGTTTGGAATTCAGGGAAATAAACAACAAATATCACGATATTATTTTACAGACCCAATGCTTCCACTTGTAGGACCGGCTAGTGTCATAGGTAGATCTGTCGTAATTAATGAGCCTGATTTTGGAGAAGGTCGACTTGCATGTGCCAATATTTTCGAACATTATAGTGATTATGGAAAATAATATTAGTTCCTTGATAAAAAATAATATTTAATTTTGAGACAATAATTTTCAATCCAATTTTTTGGAACGAAAATTGTACTTAATTGGAGAATGTTGAATGCCTGCCATATGCCATATATTCTGAAATCAATATTGCATCAAATCTTTCATTAGAAAAGAATTATGTATAGATTCTCTATGAGAATCTTTATTTGCTTGATGTAAAGTAACTTAATTGAAAAATGGTGTAATTATTTCATTTGTCATAGGTGCTACGTGTATGATAATTGTAACTTTTCTGTGTCATTTTACATAAAACATAGTTACTAAATGTACGTGACTCATTTAAGGAGCTTCATAATAGTTTAACTTTTGAAAGTAAGAAAACAAAAGCTTTAAACAATTTTGAACTAAACTATTCGCATACTTACTAAAAATATTGCCTTTGTTTGTGTTCTAATTTAATTTAATAATATTAAAATACCTAAACTTTCATCATAGGTGGTACACTTTTTACAAATGGATCATTTATACGCCAGTTGAACAATCAGTCGGAGAAATGTCCCCACATTACTATTTCAAATGAAGAAAAAATTAAGAAAAAAAAATGGTACACTCATGTCTAAATTTTGCAAACTAAGTTTTAAAATGTTTCAAGAAGTCACTAAAATTTTCAGAGGCAAGGAAGTTCTAAAGATATATTATTATTATTATTATTGCGAAATTCTGGTAAGAAAAGAATAAATTGAATTTTAGACTTTCGTAATTCGGCTATAAATATGGAGTCTGTTACGAAATTTTGTATGGGTACTAGATAAGAGGCTAGACAAGACAAGAGACTAGATTTTTCTGAAAAAATTACTTTTTTAGCAAAAACACTGAAAATTAAAATAAAAAAAAAATTAAAAAATTCGTAACAAAAATTTTACTTATTTTAAGTCTCTTATAGTGGTAGCTTAAATCGATTTTAATTTTGTAAACTGCGTTAGGATCAACAGGTTTTCAGGATGGCATTCTTTTGTACAGTAGTCGTTTGTTTTTCTGTATTTCACCGTTTTATAATCCTAATTTGTCACGCATCTTAATGCTGTGAAATTTCATGATGATCTGAAACTTTTAGTTTCTTGCTCTGATTGAATTTAATTTGACAAGTATCCACAATTGCGTATTAATTTTAATCCAATGGTATCAATGAGAATAGAGAGGTCAGAAATGACTCATATCCAAATTTCTGATATTATTGAGTAGTTACATTCAATGGACACTCATTTTTAATTCTCAGTTAACACTCACGACTCTTCTCCTATCAAGGGGAAACAACGCAGCAGAAGTCAGTAAAAAAAAAAGAAAGAATTTTTTATTAATTTTGTACAGATTGTGACAAACTAAATAATTTTTTAATGGGCTAGGATAACCTGCTTTTCTATTTTCTATTTTATATTTGTCTTTGAACAACCAACCCAATTTTGAGCTTACGGCTACCAATCTTCAACTCCGTAGCCTTGAAATTTTGAATCCAATCCAGAAGACAAAGGAACTCCAAGGTCAAGCATTGGCAGAAATTTTGCCTTTGTGGAGGACTTTTTAATTCAAACTTGTCCCCATTTGCATTACATGGAGAGGACTGCCACCAAAACCTCACACGGTTAGTCTAACAGCAAGGGGACTCTAACCTATGATTTTATTTTATTTTATAACCGTCGTTGAACAGCCGACCCAATTTTGGGTTTACGCCTACTAATGTTCAACTCCGTAGCCTTGTAATTTTGAACTAATCCAGAAGACAAGGAAACTCCTGGATCACCCAGAGGTATGATTTGCTATGGGAACATGGAGGACTTTGTGACTCGAAAGATTTAACGTGCACCAGTCACCATTTACTTCACGGGGACTCTTCGGCTTTCGGGGATCGAACCCACGACCACTTGAACATGGGCCCAGTGCCCTACAATCAGACTATCCCGGGCCCTGACCTATGATTTGTCTGCCACTGAGGATATTTTACACGGATAGCCTGGTTGGTAGGACGTTGAACTCGTGTTCGTGAGAACGCGAGTCTTAATCCCGCCTGCCAAAGAATCCCCGTGTTTTAAATGGTGGCAGGTGCACTTTAAATTTTTGGGGTTACAAAGTAAAAAAAAATCAATACCTCTGGGGGTACTGAATTGGAGATTGATCGTTCTCTGGTTCAAGTCAAAATTCTGATCTGTGGATGAATGAATAGAGTATGACAGGGTCCTTCCTTTGAAACGGGTTGTGACGTGCGTGGCTGAAGTCGTATTCCTGGTGATAGATGGAGCCACTGAAAAAACAAGAAACGCACTCTCTGTCTTGAAAATTCACTTGATTTCAAGCAGACTTGCTGGATTGGCAAGTGGTAAAAGTAACAACACGACAACACCAACAAAATTTTTTTTATTATCTCATTCTACATATTTCAATCTTCATTTTAATATGTTACAAATACAGAAATTTAAAAAATTAGAGCTTGTATAATACAATGTTTATAACCTATTTTTTAAATTATCCATAAGTTGAAAAAAAAAATTATTCAAATTTGATTCCATTTTGATTTTTTTAAGCTACATGAATGTAGTTTTTATTTCACGTAGGATTTTTAAAAGTAAACTTTTTTTTAAAAAAATGGAGGTGTTTAGAAAAAAAAAAATCTAAGTATGACATGAAATAAATTTTATTTTAACGGATTCACCCACTCAACCCAATTAAAAAATCCCTATCTGCAACGAAAACCATATTTATTTTGAACATTGTGTCAACGATGCTCACAATATGGCATAAAAACCAATACAGAATGGTATGAAAACCATTTATTCGATTTAATTTACTTTTCAGATTTGTTTCTTTACTAAATGTTTGCTAATAAGAGCTATAATTTTTAAATTCACAATTCCCGATAATTAGTTACCATAACGAATGGAAAAATTACCAAATGATTCATTTAAATACTGCATATATTGGTTTTGTTACCAGATTTTTTATTATTCTATTATTGTTTTTCTTTCAACCAGAAATTTCTTTACTACACTAGTGCGGTAATTTTGCTTGAATTTTTTTTCCGTGCATACATGAATTTTGTGATAAGCCAAATTTTTAATCAGTGGTTTTATTTTTTTATTAAAAGAAAAGGTTAAGATTTAGAACAGGTTAATTGTAATAATAAGGACTGTACAGAAATTAAAAAAAATATATGACTTTACACATTTTTCAATCAAAAACTTTGATTATTGTGAATGAAAGAAGCTGTTATTCAAACTACAATTTCAGAAAATAACAGGAAGTATGTTTTGCTTAATTAGCTTTTTAATGACATCATAATTCCACCGTAAGTTCTGCAGGTGACATACATAANATACTAAAACAGATACATAAATTAATTAATTAAACCAAAAGAGAAAGAAAACATAAACATTTTTGTTAACTTTATCAAGAAGAAAAAAAAGGCTTTTAGGATATTATTTACGAAAAAATTATGTTTTAAAAAAATATGTCTTAAGTAAGCATAGGGGACTGAAATACGTTCGCTAACAAAAGGGGACAGGTTAAAAAATAGCTCAAAACCACGCTTGAATATCCCCTTAAAAATCACATCAGCAGCATTCCATATCCTGATAAAGTGTTTTGTATTTATTATAATACTAGTTTTATGATTGAAATGAATGCCTTAGTTCTTCGATATAAATAAATTTAAAAAACTTGAGGCAATACAATTATAATTTTCAAAAAGATCTGAAGAGCATTTGGGGAAAAACATCGCATTTGTAAAAAGGCAAACAGTTGTTTTCGTGTATTGTGGTGTTACTTAGTGGAAATTTCTGAAACTTGTTAAGTATCTATCAGGAAACAATATTAGGAAACAAAAGAATGTAGCTTCAATTGGCCCAAATTTCTTCAAGTAGGTGTTACCCATTTTTTTAAACGAACATTCCGTAAAAGGGGACTAAGGAATCTAATGAGTTAAAAGGTTAAAGTTCCCTTAAAACTATTTCAGAAGTACCTGTTCTGAAGTTGTTGTTGATATCTCCTTAAATCTGTCCTTCTCAGATGTAAGAAATAAATATAAAAATGTTTTATCTGAAAGAATTTTTTTAATCTGAAAGAATTTGTTAGATAACGAGTTTCTATAAAGCAACAAATTGTATGAATGACTAGTCAAAAAAGAATTCATAGGTGGGTGTTCGAAAGTAAATGTAGGTCGTAAAATGCATTCTTTTATTCTAAATTCCAAAATGAAAGAAAAAGTAATACTTTTGTTCATTGACTCTTCCTCCTTTTCTTTTTAAATTAAATATAAAGCTTAGGCATATTCACAATCAATGAACAAAGAACTTTGCGGTAAATCAAAATCGTTCATTTTTTTTATTTTTTTTTACTAGTTTTCCTTCGTCTGTCAAACTTTAATGAACTTAGAAATGTTTTGAACTGGTTTTATGAAAGGTCTTTGCATTGAAGCTTATGCGTCATTTATTTTAAATTCTTTGGAATCAAAAATATTTTTCTTTTCGTTTTAAGTTGTACCGTAGCAAAAGTGCGGTTTTTCTGTTAGATTTATAATTATAATTTAATGATAAATAAGTAAAAGGAATTAAATAGTTATTTTTAAAAGCTTTAAAAATAAACTGCTATTTTTTGTCACTTCATTTATAGATGACGCTTGATAAAGAAGATCTTAGTCATATCAAACCAAAATGATTGTTAACTAAAGATCCTAAACTGAAATCATTGAAAAGTAAACTAAATAACTCTCAGAGTAATTTATTTAACTTTAAACCATATTATAGTTCTTCAAGGACTCTAAATTCGGATAGATCAGCTATGATATTCTTTTTATTCCCTTATATGGAGATGGATTTATTTATTCACATGCACATGTGCTAGTTTTTTTTTTGTAAATACATACACTTTTTTCAATTTGAAGAGTACCGCCGTGAACTGATCATTAAGACACGGTTCCCAGTATAACACCGAAGTCAAGCATCACTGGCTGCTGTCAGTGTGCTGGTGGGTGCCCACTGGGATAAGTCTGCGAAGGGACCGAGGGTGTGTGGTATTGATCCTCGTTAAACTGCTCTACTGTAAAGTGATTGACTTCTCCCGAGGTCAATGGGCTACCGAAGCATGGGGGTCATCCCCTCTACAGAGGATCAAAATTGTGACGGTATGTCTTCGGATCATTCTCCGGGATGTTTCCCAGACCGTCACCAATAGCCAATTGTATAGCTCTACTGCAACGTAAATAAACTACAACAACAACAATTTTAAGAACAGATAGCACCACTTTGAGAAGAACAACAAAATATACAGCAAGTGTTT